TTCGCACCGACATTTTTCACCAGATTAAATTCATTAAAAGAGATTAACTAAACAGATACCGACCACATGTGGTGAGCTCGCTATTTCCCATAATTTAAAAGAATTCAACTTAAAAATAGGCATTAGTATGGGGAGAATCATTTACATTTTAATCTTTGCAGCAACATTAATACTACCGAAGGTCTCGAGCAATTTTCACAATTTAGGAAGCAAATTTTTTTTCAAAAACCCAATGCCATATAAACCATAGTCCATATTAAATTAAAGTCAATTACATGATCTTTCAGACACATCATTTAAACCAAATCATCAATTAATTCAAACATCTACATTTGCAAGTTCAATTAAGATAATGTAAATACACTTGCAGTTAATATATTACACATGCAGTTTCTACTATGACAATGGTCAAAACACAAATATTCAATATTTTTTAAATTTTGGCATATTGCCATCACGACATTCATCACCCCCCGCCGTTCAAAATGGTGTTGTTTAACATTTTACATAGATTATCATACACCTTAAAATAGGTTGTCTATGTTGAGGTCTCATACTAAAATTGTCCTGGCGACCAAATGATTTAGATGTGCAGTTTTTGCACTATTTCTTTGACAGTGTAATACGAGATTACACACTCAACTTCCATCCAAAATAGCTGTCTATGTTGAGATCTCATTCATACGTTACCTATTCTATAGGAATTTTTTATTTTAACATATATGGCGTAGAATTTTACGCTGGTTATAAACATACTAAAATTATCCTAGGGACCGAATGATTTCTATGCGTTTTTGTGCTATTTCTACGAAGGTATAATACGAGATTACGCACTCAACTTCCATGCAAAATGGCTGTCTATGTTGAGGTCTCCTTCATATGTTACCTATTCTATAGGAATTTTTGATTTTAACATATATGGCGTAGAATTTTATGCTGGTTATAAACATACTAAAATTACCCTGGGGACCGAATGATTTCTATGTGTTTTTGCGCTATTTCTTTTCTAGTATAATACGAGATTACGCACTCAACGTCCATGGAAAATGGCTGTCTATGTTGAGGTCTCACTCATACGTTACCTATTCTATAGGAATGTTTTATTCCAACCTGACTTTGTAAAATGAAAATAAATTATTCAATGAAATACTTTGAATACAAGTCGATTCACCCCAAGTCATTTCGCCCCAAGTGGCTAAGTCGATTCGTCCCAACGTTTCGTTGACAAAGAATTTCAAATGATGGATATGTTAAAAATATAGACAAGAATACTGAATACACAGACATATAAATGTTGTCATTATCACTGACTCACTGAGTAACTGACGAATGAATCTCAATTGCAAATTACTACCTTATTTAGGCAATTAGGCGTAAAAAAAATACCTGTGGTTCCACTTCCCGACCGACCCTATTTTTTTCTGCCCACCCTATTATTTTTTCAACGTGATTGATTGTGCGACCCTATTTTCTCCGGGTAGTTGCGGGCTGCTGCCAAAATAGCGTCTGTTGTCACACTAATTATTGAAAAAAACATGAAAAAAAATATATTTCCGACCTACCGACCCTAATTTTTTTGCAATATGAAACCGGAACCACAGGTATTTTTTTATGCCTTACGAATGTGTGTCATGTACACAGTCAGAGGAGGTTGGAAGCCCTTCCAGGCATGCAATGTAACTGATTAATATTATTGATTTCCCGGGACCCGCCGTCATTGTTCGACTAGCTCTCGTCATGTTCACTATTCAATTAGGGACCGGTCATTATTTATGGCAGGGGGGAGGGAAAAATGGGGGGGGGGCATATGTATAAATAAATGACTCGAAGAGGGGGCTATTAAATTTTTTCAAGAAAATGAGGGGGGGGTTGCAATTAGATTTGAAGGAATTTGCTTTGGTGTAAATAGGTAATGGGACAAGTACTGGTGTGAGACATTGTGTAACCTAAATAATTATAGGACCAGTATTCAAATTTATTGTTATTTACTTCAACTTCAATAGTATGAACTGCATATACGTGATGAATTATGGCAATAACGATTATAGGAACTGAGGAGGGGTGAATTTGTTAATTAGAAACGATAAGTCGAGAGATAAAGGAGAGAAAAGGAAAGGCAACCCTGTACGCGTTTCGACCTAACAGTCTTCTTCAGCAGGGTTTTTTAAGAGGGGTGCAGGTAGAATTTGCAGAGGAGAATGAAGGAGAGGTTAGGAGTTAGGATAAGCAATGGCACAGTAACAGAAAGGAAAGATGGAAAGATAGTGAGAAATGAAAAAACTACTACATGTTAAAAGAAAGGTTATCCTACCAAATGTCTTGTTATTGCGCGACATTCCAACACCACGCACCTTGCTGTTCATCTTTTGTTTAGTTTGATGAAAAGAGTAATGATACAGTCCTTTCAATTTTAGCTAACTCAATAGTATAGTGAGTATGAATGATGTGATGGTAGTGGTGGGGTAGGATTTATATCATAGTGTGATCATGTGACTAAGGTGATTGCATCCTAATATGGTGAAGGGAGCTAATTAGACAGGGATGGGGAGGTATCGCAATAAGAGGTGATTAGTGATAAATAATAAAATAAATAAATAATTAGATAAATAATTACCCCTTTACAGGGTTTATTGTTATAGATTTATGAGTATACATTAACCCCCAAAAAACTAAATATGTACATATATAACAAAGCCAAACAAGGATGATAATTGGATGATAAATGGAATGATATTATATGTCCAATCGTTATCTATAGTAGGTCTTAATTTGTCACGTGGAGTACTCAAGTTATCCATCATTATATTTACAAAGTATACTATTAAAACATGACAAGTATGTTTCGTGTTACTTGTACAAGGAACCAATGGTTATATGAAAATAAATGGGGACTGGGATTATGTTGGTGCATTATTAAATAGCTGGTCATAACTGAAAAATTCTATATAGGACGCGTATGACGCCTAAGGTATAAAATGCATGTAGACATGCATAGAGGATTTGAATTAGGTATAGGAATTGTAACTATTGCTATTAGCCATCAAAACATATTAGGTACATGCATGTCCAAAAACATCAGGCTCTGTTTTAATAGTCCAACTGTATGTAATTAAAAAGGTTGACCAACTATGCAGCGATGACGAGTCTATTCGAGTGGTTTCATATAGATGTTATCGTAGGAAATGCCACAGTCAAGTAATGGTATGAAAAATTGGCTATTGACGTCAATGTTAATCCTTTTCAAGTGCCAACCAGGACGATTAATTCTTTATAGTATGTGGACAACAATGTCTGCTTGATGGTAAGATATCAACAGCTGGTATTATAAGTTGTTGTAAATATGGTTTTCAAAACTCGGTGTTTCTATTGCTTTAATATGACCAAATTATCCAGTATTTCCACGACCAATGACGAAACTCCAAAATCTGTGTCTCACCATATCGAACCCGCTGTCATAGTGGTGTTAGTATGGCATTAAATTTCATTAGTGCTAATTATTTGATAGCTTAGAGTGCACTATGTGTTTTGGTGTAAATAGGTAATGGGACAAGTACTGGTGTGAGACATTGTGTACCTAAATAATTATAGGACCAGTATTCAAATTTATTGTTAATTACTTGAACTTAAATAGTATGAACTGCATATACGTGATGAATTAAGGCAATAACGATTAAGAAAGGGAGGTCACAACGTGTTGGTTCAACCGTCACTAGGAATATGTCCAGCCCTAATATTACCACCCCAAACCCCTTCACAACTAACAGGAGGAATAATATTAACACAACCCTGACTAACGTAACTAGTTCTAACCTGGAGGATTTTCTCTCACGTATGCATCTCCCCAGCTATCACCTAAACACGAAAAACGAGATGAAGCCCCGCTAACTAACAAGCTAACCAAAACCAAATTGCGCAAATATTTGAAAACTAAAAGGAATAATAATAATTACCGATTTACAAGTAAAGGTACAATTCTCTCTGAAATTAAAATGAAACGTATCAAAGATAGTGTGGTGAATTTATCCAACCCACCATTCAAATTTTATCTAAAGGTCTTAAATTCATACCCACACCACAACCAACTAATAGGGAGATTGTATACAAGTCCTATCAGACCTTTCGACGAAAGATGCACTTAAGATATTTCTTCAAAGAATCTACTAACAATGATACTCCCTCCCATCCGTTTAAATTAAAAAGTGACTTACACCTCCGCTTCCTGACAATGAGAACCTCCTAGAGTTTATTTCCCTAGTTTATCAAGAAATACTCTCGCACCCCAATACCCCCACTAACAAACATAAAAACTATTCGAGAGAAGAAATATCTGCACTAAAAGATTTGCAGAAAAACGATAACTTGATTGTTAAACCAGCAGATAAAGGTGGGGCCATTGTCATCTGGCCAAGAGATGACTACCTACGTGAGGCCTCTAAACAACTTGCTAACACTACCCATTACAACCATATTTTAATGAATCCCATCCCTGAACTAATAACTAGAATACAACAATTTGTTCGAAATAATCATAAATTAGGTCAATTTGATTACACAACATATAAATTCCTAATGCCCCCTACACCTACTAAAACTCCCACCCTATACTTACTACCCAAAATTCATAAAGCTGGCAACCCGGGTAGACCTATCATCTCTGGGTGTGATGGACCCACTGTCAGATTATCGAAATATGCGGACCACTTCCTCAAACCCTTAGTTAGCAATATCCCATCATTTGTTAAAGATTCAACGGATTTCCTTAGACGTATATTTAAACTTGACCATAATCTTCCTACTGACATTATTCTTCTTACAATAGATGTTAGATCTCTGTACACTAATCCATTTGGTTGTAATTGCGACTAAATCATGGTCACTGATGTGAAATAGTCTGGATTTATCTTGTCTTCTATGTGCTGTATGCAAATCAGTTTTTACTGATTGCAGAGATAAATTGACAATGAATTATTACATCAGCTATCTTGATGTGGTTAAATACATTTAAGCAAGGTTAACGGCAAATGTATTATGCAGGCCACATCCACTGAGGGGAGTCTGTGACGTCATATCGATTAAAGGGGGTTGTTTCGCGCCTTGTGATCAGTGCTTCGGTCTGGGTATTCATTCTGCCATTGTATGCGCCTAGCTGTAGCAAGTTTAGCGCTTAGATACCTTTTCCCTACCCACCCACCCATGTTTATTCTAGAGGATTTATCTGGTAGTATGTCATTTTATTTTATATAATTTTTAATCTCACATAAAATAGGATGTATAGACCACTATACATTATATTTCGTTTCCACTGACTTGTCAGTGTGACTGGTGCCGGAGGTATGCCTTGGCAGAATGTCCAGAATTGTCATGGCTATCTCCTTTTGCTGCTAATATTACTGATTGTTTCTCTCATTGCTACGCAGCTGCTATGGCAATACTTTGTGCCATCAAATCTAGTTACAGCCTTGGACCACAAACGGCACCTGCATGGCTCCAAATACTAATATTAATTCTCTGCCGTTAAACATGGTTACAATCGCCCAGACCAAATGGAAACCTGATTTTAGAGTTATATATGAAAATACCCTTCTTTTTAATTATAATTTTCTACTAATATATATTTCTGGTCGACGTTAATATCTTGTCAGCTCCATAATCTTATTTAATTAATAATTAACATTAGAACGCCTGGGTATCCCCATTTGTCGAGTAAAAATGAAAATGGAGGGGGGTCAAAGAAAAATATTCTAATATGTAGGGGAGGGGTCATCATTAAATTTCTGCTCTTTTAAGGGGGGGCTTTCAATTTTAAAAATTTAGAAAACAAAAAATTTCCCTCCCCCTTCCATAAATAATGACCGGTCCCTTTACAAGGAGCGGTATTCTAAAGTACAAATTGAAAATGAATCATGGCGACTACCGCAGAACCTTTATCAGCTCTTTAACAACGATATTAGAATAACTCTTTTAAATCCCAAGTGCTTTCTATCATTTTGCTTAAATTCTGGAATAATTACGACCACTCTCATTGATGGAAAACTCAATTTAAACTCTAATTTAAAAACAAAATCCAACATAGGATCATTATTTTCCGGTGCCCAATTGGATTTGCTTTTAAAATATCTTAGTCTTATCAAATTTCATTATCATTAGCTTTGTAAAAAAAAACACTTAAGCTTAAGAGAGCTTGCCTGTAAGAATCACAGAATGTGTGGCAGATATGAAAAACTGAAAGTTCTTCAATTTCCCTCGATTTTATATATATTGTAGACCTATCCAATCCCACACATTTACTGAAGATTCAGCCATCAAACAAAAAATGAAGAAAAGTTAGAGCACTTCAAAAATCGAACCAAAAATGACGCAAAATGTCCAAGAAATTACGCTATATAAAGCAGTCAACATCATGTGCTGTGCTGAGCGCGCATTATAAGTTTTTGCTCTGCTGTTACAATATATGTCTTTAGAATATATGGAACTTTCTCGTTATATCTTTCCTCCATAAATCGAAACTTATTGATTTGGTTATTTTAGATCAAAGATGGTTGAAATTTCCGGGTTTTCCAAACTAGCCAAAGTACATCTTGTGAATCGCCTATTTAAATATGGTCCTACTTTCTTTATCAATGTACATATGCATAATTTGTTAGGGCTAGGATTTAGTCATTCGACGACGATTTCAGATGTTTGGGATTCTTTTGTGTCTTGGCGAAATTTGCACTTTAAACATGTACAATATTAGCGTAATGGGCAATTCCAGCTATAGACTAAATTTTGATTTGGGCAAGAAAAACAAAATCCATCAGCACAGCTAGAAAGAGCATGTTAAAATTAGTAAAATCACAAAGTTTGGTTGCAAAATGTTGTAAAATGAGGCAAATATAGCCCTGCGAAAGTTGCAAATTTTGTATTAATTTGTTCGCAATAGACCATTATTTTGCGTAATAGACTAAATTTTGATCTAAACAAGTCTAGGCAAAAATTTCATCCCAGCTTGAAAGAGCATCACAAAATTAGTGACATTCCAAAGTTTCGTTGCGAAATGTTGTAAAATGCGGAAAATATAGCCTTGCGAAGTTTGCAATTTTCAGTTATTAGGCAAGATAGATAACCGACTTTTTTACGTTTGGAACATTTGAAAGCACAACACTGAGGACCTCTAACTTTTCCCATTGCTGTGAAATTTGCTGAGTTTAACTCAACTTAATTACAATTGGTGCCAAAATGGTAAAAACTCTTTGCCACAGGTCTCCAAAAATGTTTTTAAAATTGAACATGTTTTTTGAATTATATTTACAGTAACCACTAAACTCAAAAGGCTAATATTGAGAGTTTATCATGTTTTTAATTCCTGAGAGTACTTGCACAGGGTTCGTAGCGGTCTTTGAAATCCTGGAAAGTCTTTAAATTGGATGCAGGTCTTTGAAGTCTTTGAAAAGTCTTTACATTGTGTGAAAAAGCGAAGAAAGTCTTTAAAAGCCTTTAAATTCTTTAGTGACGAATTGATTATACGATTTCTTAGTTAATAAAATAGCTTGATTGAATCAAGATTTTCGCAAATATCGACGAAAATGCGCATTTTAGGATGTGATTTGATGGGAATAATTACTGGATAAAAATGGTGCTTACAGTCGCAATTTTTCGACAGCTGATTGTTCTCAAAGGTCTTTGAAAAGTCTTTGAAAATAGACGTGTTACGAAAGTATTAAAAATAATATAAAAATAGTTCAATTTGCACCCCAGGTAACTATAAAATACTAGTTACGTCGAATGGAGAGATAATGAGCATTTTTGACGAAAAATAAACAGATAAAGTATATCTCATTTCGGACGTGCGTAAAATGTCAATTATCTGTCCATTAGGCAAGATAGATAACTCGTCAATTTGTCAAAGATGGACGATAACCTTGCATGGTGGCATTGGTGGGCCGTTGTGTTTACATAATTCAAAGTCCAAGGCTGGTTCTTCTCTGACATGAAAATGTGCATGCTTAGGGCCTTTCTGTCAATCATTCTTAGGTATATTTCGCGCGGTTGAGTAATGAAAACATTACGTCATCAAGGTCTTGGTTCAATAAAATTGTAAGTAAATTTAGTTTAGTAGGTATAGTAAGGTTCACATAGAGATAAGTTGAAGTTTTTACTATGATATTTCAATAAGTATTTTAAGTTGTGAACATATTTTAACATTGATCGATTGAACAGCGAACCAACTCGACAAGTGCGACAACGCCTTAAATAAACAGAATGTGAGAGCTGGAACGAGCTAGCAACGCCAACCCACACTTTTAAAACTCAACGTTGATTGGCTACATACAAATCACACCACTTGCTACATCACGTGTACAAAGATTCCTCAACCGTTAGTATAAAAGTGCGTGCACAACCGAAATTCGTCAGTGGATAATTTCTCAGTGGACTGATCAGTAAAGTGAAGTAAAGTGAAGACTGATGAGCAAAGTGAAATGAAGTGAACTTTAGGAAACTACTACGAGATCGAAGACGAACATTATATTAAGAACTGATACTTATTTAAGATTGTTGTAACGATTCGCTACACTACTTAAATAAAGCCTCGTAACAGACGGAAAAAGTCTTTAAAAGTCTTTGAATATTTTTGGTCTTGGAGACTACGAACCCTGTTGCAAATTTCGTTTATTTTTTAAGAAAAGTTTAATATTGTGCATTTGATATGAGTCAAAGAATTGGAAAGCACTATTACACAAAGTCAAAAGTAGTATTTTATTATAACAATAGAATTATTCATACAATAATGAATGTAACTATATTTAAGATTATAAAATTTACTGTGCATCAAGCAGATTATTTCACTGATCTTATACAATAATGCAAGAAATAATGTGTGTCATTACAAAACAGGTTTTCCCATATTAAAGCAGTTCTAAAATACAAATTACTGTATTAACGCAGTGACCTATTACAGTAATTTGGCAGTTTGGTTGCTTGAATTAAAAGGAAAAGGTCTTGTACTCACAGGACTCAATAGAAAGAAATATTTCTTAACATCAATTAAAGATAGTTTGAAGCATATTCATACCATTGGATTATCAACTATATTTCCTAAAAAATAGCAATTACGTTATAAAATATATATATTGCCTGCGAATATAAAGTTGCAATTGTTCTCTAGCTTCTAATAGATTTTAATCATGATGTGATTCCATGGAACGTAAAATAATACATGATATGTTGTATGTAAATAAATATACACATACTAAGAAGTAAGAATCATTTTTGTTTTGGTTTATTTCATGTTTTGTATTGACTATTTTTGCCATAATTGATAAACTGTGACTAAAATGTTTTGCAATGTTGCTGTCTTTCACAAATACATTTACAATTTTGCCATGAAGCAATGGTGATACTAGCTGAAAATGTCTTATTTGGAATTGGTGGAACTATATTTATATATGAATATGCATCAAAATCTTAATTCCACACACAACTGAACATGATATATTTAACAGCAAAATATTGAAAAATCGCAATGGTTTGTCCATACTTGTCATATGGCCGCCCTTCATACGGGTCGACAAATATTGATATTTTTAGAAAAAATAATTAAAATTTGCCTTCCCCTTATTCACAATATGAAGCTCCAACGATCTGGCATCGTTGACAACAATTAAGTTCCACACTTAAAACCCCAAAATTGACTGCATAAAAGAGGATTTATGGTCAACTTTGTCCATTTCCGGAATACAAAATGTACAAATTATCGGCTCCGTGGGAACGACCAATATGGCCGCCTCGCGTAAAATGCGACTGCGATCAGGCTTCAATTTTCGCCCGGCGACAGGGTGGGATGCGTTATCTAGTGTATATGAGATATCTATGGGAAAAATCCTTATTATCAACACAGTGATCATTTGGACATAAAATCTTTCCCAAATGTACCGCTCGTTGGGCCAGCCTTTCAATTTCATTTAGCATAGTACAGCAATTTCCTCATTTGCATCCTCATGTCCGCCATGCTTGTTACAAATTCTGCCAGGCATTTCGTTTCCCGTGTCCACCCCAAGCACCCCCGCGCGCTCGCTCATCTTAGCCATTGATCTATATAAAAAAAATTGTGGTGTTGCTATTTTTAGTACGTTATTTGCGCCTGTGTACGAGACTGGGAAGCGCGGTAGTTGCCTTCATTGGTTGCTACTGTCGTTGTCTTTTGAGACGTGTTTGTATCTATCTCTCTGGGCACGGAGATCGCCTTCATTGGTGTTGTCGTCGTTGTTTTTTGAGTTGTGTTAGTGCTCTTGTCTGTCAATGTTTTCAAACTTCGGCCTTTTTGACTGTTGTTTATGATGTTTTAATGGTGTCATTTCGCTGTTATGTCATGTGGCTTGTAATTTTGTTTTGTTTTGTTTCGTTTCGTTTTGTTTTGTTTTGTTTTGTTTTGTTTTGTTTTGTTTTGTTTTGTTTTGTTTTGTTTTGTTTTGTTTTGTTTTGTTTTGTTTTGTTTTGTTTGTGTTATTAATAGGCGCAGTGGTCTTCTTTATTGGTGTACTGCTGTGCCTTCCTTTTTGAATTAATGTTGGCCTGCGGTTTGTTCAAACTCAGTTAACATCATTCCCGTCCATCCACTATCATAGGGCTAGGGATCCCTAGACATGAAGATGCTTAGCATCTGATTGTTCTGGTTTTCATGTTTACCTCGTGGCACGGGGGAGAGGATTGTACTCTCTGTTGGTTTGCTTGCTGTGTAGCAACCCCTTAGGTGCGGCGATTTCTCTGACTCGGGTTCCAATGCACCGTCGGGACCAGATCAGCAATGATCAAAGCCTTTCGTCGTTCAACTCAAAATGAAACTAATGGACGACTTGCGCTTTACACTAAATTTTATTCTAAGTAAGAACAACGAAATCTATCACCACAGTTGGAAAGAGCGTCTTGGAATTAGTAATATTACAAAGTTTGGTTGCGAAAAGTTGTAAAATACGGAAAATATAGCCCTTCAAAGTTGGCAAATTTGTATACTTTTGTATTACGTGCATGAATTAGTAACTAAAGCCCCGTTTACACTACGCTCAATTTTTTGTACGGTACGGATAAAATTGGTACCCGTACAACTTTTTTGGTTCTTGGACTACTTATTTAGGTAGTCCAAGAACCAAAAAAGTGGTACGGTACCAAAAATCGAGCGTAGTGTAAACGGTGCTTAATTTTGCTAGGTTTTTGAAACCAAAATAGTGGTACGGATACCAATTTTACCCGTGCCGTACCAAAAATCGAGCGTAGTGTAAACGGGGCTTAAATTAGTTACCAATTTCGCACGTAATAGAAATGTATACAAATTTGCCAAATTCGCCGGGCTATATTTTCCGTATTTTACAAAATTTCGCAACCAAACTTTGCAGTTTTTCTAATTTTGATAACTTCTTTCCGAAAATATCCTTTGTTATTCCCAGATTAAAAATTTTTCTAAAGCGCAAGTCGTCCATTCCATGATATGCTGGGAAATTAGTGATTAAATGTCCCTCATCTTGGGAAGGTTTTCCCTAGGCTTTCGGGGACTATTTTCCCTCATATCATAGTATTACTTATACACGGTATTATTTCTTATACAAGAAATACTGGATTCTGATTGGATAATTGCCGCTCGCGCATGCCCAGTGTGGCCATTTAAGAATGTTTTGGTCATCCCATTCTCGATTCGCATGACTAAAATCCTCGCTTATAGCCTACAATACAGCTAGCTGCTTACAACGGCAAAAATCACAATAAATACACTGTCGATGATTTTAAATCTTAAATAATCATATTATCCCCGAGCCGACGGCGCGAAGCGCCGTGCGAGGGTACTAATTCCCCCCGGATTCTGTGCCCCGGCTATTTACACCCGGGGAAACGAAAACATTTATTTTCATTACCGTCCTGTACGAATTAAATTTGTTTCATTTCAAAGTGCGAGTAATAAGTTGAAGCTCGAGTTAGAAGTTTTATATAAATATCGGCATAAACCATGAAGCAGTTCATTTCAATTCACATTTAAAAACGCTTTACGTAGAGTTTCGTTTTGAATTTTACATTAACGTAAAGCCTATAGAACCCAAAATATTATACCTACTTTTTGTATTTTAGAAATTGATAGTTCTGTGTTTAAAAGTGTTCAAATGTCATCTATTTTTTCCCGGTTTGTACAAAAAATTAAAAAAACAATTATCGTGTTGCCCATGACTAACATGACGTGGGCAACGCGAGCCTGCGTTCAGTGTTGGCGTAATTACGAATACTTCATGTTGAAACAATGTTTGGAAAATATAGGCGAGGGGTTGTTGCATGTATGTATTTCTAGTAATGATATATTTTAGCTTTTGATATCATATAAAGCAAAATAAACCGCCCGAAAATAGAAACTAACAACATAAGGCGAGTCTTATACGAGAATTTTCAGAAAACACTTATTACCCTACTACAGAAATTTGTGCACAGGGTAGATGGGAAATTGGATAATACCATTGAATTCGCCTTAAAAATCGGTACCTTTTCATAATAAACACTTCTAGACAATTTAATAAAGAAAAATTTTCGCTCGAAACATTTAGCATGACCAAGGTCATTTGAGCTGGCTTCGCCACTGATCAAAACCCTAGCATGGATTCCCTACAATTAAAATACTCTTTAAAATTCATAAACCTTGTGGCAATCATGTCGGCCATAATATGTCACGTGGAGTGACTTTATATCTGATAAAAGTCATCTTCATTAGTATTCTTTATATAATTCTTCATCTTTATTAGTGCGATCATATAATTGTTCATCTTAATTAGTATTCTTTTGTAGTCGTATTTTAAGCTATTCAAAACACTCGAACTCGCGTTTTATCATATTTAATACGTTCGGCTGCGCCTCGCGTTTTAAATATGATAAAACACTCTTTCTCGTGCTTTAAATAGTACTTAAAGCACCAGTATATTTTTTGGACGCATGAAACTAACATCAAAACAAGTACATTAGCTCAAAATGTCAAATTTCTTTTTCCAATTTTCAGGTGGTGTATTACCTACTTTTTTACTTTTCGATACGAACATTGACACCCACCAATAGAGGTAAAAGATATGGACCATCTAAAAACTTTTAATTATATAATTAACCCCATGCTCCTTAATGGACAGATGGATGTCGCGATCTATCCAGTTAACTAGTTTTTATATGTCTTTGTTTCAGATCAATCAAGAAAAACAGGGTTAATTAAAAAGGTAATTCAATGGCTTCCAAAAAGATCATAGCCAAATACGAAAAGTGTTTACAACTTTGTGTTTCAAATCACGATCCGTTAGGAGTAGCAATATACAACGATTATTTGGGTGATTCGTATGCTAATTTAGGAGAGAATAGAATAGCCATTCAGAATTATGAGAAAAGTTTACAAATTTACGCGGAAATTGGCCATTGGTCGGGAATGTTAGGAAGCAATACAAAGTTAGGCAATACCTGTTATAGTCTAGCACAATACCAAGAAGCTATAACATATTACAAAAAAAGTTTAGAAATAAGCACGAGAATTGATGTTGGATTAGAAGTGGCAAATACCAATTGTAGATTATGCGCTGCCTATCGATGCATAGCAAATTATAAAGAAGCTATTACCTATGGCAAAAAAGGTTTAGACATAAGCACAGCTATTGGCAACCAGTCAGGAATCGCAAGTAGCAGTACCAATTTGGGCAATGTCTATCTCGGGTTAGGAGAATATCAGAAGGCCATTGACTATTACAAAAAAGGTTTAGAAATAAGCACTGCTATTGGCGATCGGTCAGGAATAGCAAGTAACAGTGGCAATTTGGGCAATGCCTATCTCGATTTAGGAGAATATCAGAAGGCCATTGACTATTTCAAAAAAGATTTTGAAATAAGCACTGCTATTAGCGATCGCTCAGGAATAGCAAGAAACAATGGCAATTTTGGCAATGCCTATCTCAGTTTAGGAGAATACCAGAAGGCCATTTACTATTACAAGAAAGATTTAGAAATAAGCACTGCCATTGGCGATCGGCCAGGAATAGCAAGAGGGAATGGCAATTTGGGCAATGCCTATCTCAGTTAAGGACAATATCAGAAGGCCATTGACTATTACAAAAAAGGTTTAGAAATGAGCACTGCTATTGGCGATCGGTCAGGAATAGCAAGTAACAATGGCAATTTGGGCAATGCCTATCTCAGTTTAGGAGAATATCAGAAGGCGATTGACTATTACAAAAAAGGTTTAGAAATGAGCACTGCTATTGGCGATCGGTCAGGAATAGCAAATAACAATGGCAATTTGGGCAATGCCTATCTCAGATTAGGAGAATATCAGAAGGCCATTGATTATTTCAAAAAAGGTTCAGAAATAAGCACTGCTATTGGCGGTCGGTCTGGAATAGCAATAAGCAATTGCAATTTGGGCAATGCCTATCTCGATTTAGGAGAATATCAGAAGGCCATTGACTATTGCAAAAAAGGTTTAGAAATGAGCACTGCTATTGGCGATCGGTCAGGAATAGCAAGTAACAATGGCAATTTGGGCAATGCCTATTTCAGTTTAGGAGAATGTCAGAAGGCCATTGATTATTACGAAAAAGGTTTAGAAATGAGCACTGCTATTGGCGATCAGTCAGGAATAGCAAATAGCAATTGCAGTGTGGGCAATGTCTATCTCAGGTTAGGAGAATATCAGAAGGCTATTGACTATTACAAAAAAGGTTTAGAAATAAGCACTGCTATTGGCGATCGGTCGGAAATAGCAAGTACCAATGGCAATTTGGGCAATGCCTATCTCGATTTAGGAGAATATCAGAAGGCCATTGACTATTTCAAAAAAGGTTCAGAAATAAGCACTGCTATTGGCGATCAGTCAAGAATAGCAAGTAGCAATGGCAATTTGGGCAATGCTTATCTTCGTTTAGGACAATATCAGAAGGCCATTGACTATTACAAAAAAGGTTTAGAAATAAGCACTGCTATTGGCGATCGGTCAAGAATAGCAAATAACAATGGCAATTTGGGCAATGCCTATCTCAGTTTAGGAGAATATCAGAAGGCCATTGACTATTACAAAAACGGTTTAGAAATAAGCACTGCTATTGGCAATCGGTCAGGAATAGCAAGTAAGAAATGCAATTTGGGCAATGCCTATCTCAGCTTAGGAGAATACCAGAAGGCCATTGACTATTACAAAGAAGGTTTAGAAATAAGCACTGCTATTGGCGATCGGTCTGAAATAGCAAGAAGCAATTGCAATTTGGGCAATGCCTATGTCAGTTTAGGAGAATATCAGAAGGCCATTGACTATTACAAAGAAGGTTTTGAAATAAGCACTGCTATTGGCTATCGGTCAGGAATAGCAAGAAACACTAGCAGTTTGGGCAATGCCTATCGATTTTTAGGAGAATATCACAAGGCCATTGACTATTACAAAAAAGGTTTGGAACTGAGCACTGCTATTGGCGATCGATCAGGGATAGCAAGTGACAATGGCTATTTGGGCGATGCCTATCTCAATTTAGGAGAATATCAGAAGGCCATTGACTATTACAAAAAAGGTTTAGAAATAAGCACTGCTATTGGCCGTCGGTCAAGAATAGCAAGTAACCTCAGCAATTTAGGAAATGCGCATCGATGTCTCGGAGAGTACGAAGTTGCAACATCGCACTTAATGAAATCAATTAGTTTCTTCGATAGAATCTTTTTAGATTTTGTTCCGGATCAAAATAAGCTATCGTTCACGAAGCAATATTTCATTTCTCATACATCTTTAATGAGTTGTTTCCTTTCCTTTGAACGTATTGAAGCCGCATTATTGGTCATTGACCTTGGTAGGGCTAAAGAGCTCCATTGCTGCGTTGAAAAACATAAGAGTTCTTTGAACAAAGGCATGTTCGATTATGCACGTGGGATATGGAATAGAATAGGGGCCAGAGAAGAGCGAAGAGAAATCGAAAAAATTAAAACATTTCCCCAGCTTGGAAACGATGATACCTCTATTTTAGTATTTGCTTTTGATTTGAAAGATTCTCTTAATGTTTGGGTTTTAAATGGTGAAGTTATTTTTAGAAAATTAGATGCATGTTTGGAAACATTGGAGTGTCTAATTATGGAACTTCTTGGGAGGCTAAAAGTTGGTGTTGATCGGAATTCTTCGTTTTGCAAGCCTGATCCAGTTTTTGATACTCATAATCAAATGATTTTTCCATTCGAAATTCGAAAACAAAAGCCGCCACTCTCTAAAAATGCGCTTCAAAATACTGCTTGCTATGGTCATTTGAGTAAGCGAGAAATTTTGGAAATATTGTTCAAACTTTTAGTTGATCCTGTGAAAAATCTCGTTAACGGCAATAGGCTCGTTGTTGTCCCTGACCCGCAATTGTTTTTTACACCGTTTTCAGCATTAATTGATGAAAATGGCTCTTTTTTATCCAACAGTTACAGCGTTCAAATTACACCTTCATTGCATACCCTAATATGTACCATGGAACAATCATGTGACTCAAACTTTGGTTTTGCGTTGTTTGTTGGTAATCCAACTGTTGGAAAAGTTTCGTTAAACGGAGAAGATTTTACACCGTGTGGTCTTCCTAGTGCCGCTGAAGAAGTGAAATGTCTCTCAAAGCTTTTCCAAGCTACCCCTTTATTGGGACGTGCTGCAACAAAGGAGGTAGTATTGCAACTTCTAAATGGAGCTAGTATAATCCATATCGCGGCCCATGGCGAACCAAATCGAGGTGAAATAATGCTTGCGCCAAACTCGTCCCGGGTGCAACCATGTTTGACTGTTCCCACGCCAGAATCATATCTTCTCACACAGCGAGATATTCTAAATATGTCTGTGCAAGCTCGCTTGGTAGTTTTATGCTGTTGCCATACTGGTCAAGGTGAAATTACTTCAGAAGGTGTCATAGGTATAACTCGAGCATTTCTTGCAGCCGGAGCGCGCTGTGTTCTTGCCACACTATGGCCCATTGACGATAATGCCACAAAAGAGTTTATGGAAAAATTCTATGACGAACTTTGCCAAGAAACATCAGTTTGTGAAGCTTTGAGAAGAACAATGAACCTCTTTCAAAAACACGAAAACGAAGCTTATCGATCTAGTAGAATCTGGGGGCCATTTACCGTCTATGGAGAGGACGCGAAATTCCATAAGGATGAGATTGAGCAAATCAGAGAAAAATCGCATGAGGTGTTTTCTGGTTTTGTAGTGATATAATTTAAGAATGCTTTTAATCTTCAGCAGGCATCATCTGTATCGTTAAAATGTCGTTCTCTTTTTTAGTTGTATTCCAAGCATAAGCTAATATGGTATTACCATGCATGCAGTAGAATGGACTATTGACTGAAAATGCTCCTATTAGGGCCAATTTCTGCACCTTAAATTGTTTCGGGCGATTAAAAGGTTAGACAAGGTATCGAATTTTATTTTGAAATTATATGCGTCTTTGGTTTGATTCAGTTGCTTACTAGTTGTTGTTGGGTGGAAACGTTCTTGTCGCAATTATTCCAAGTTTCTGCAATTGTAACTTTGCGCAAAAATATTAATTAAAGGAATATTATTTTTTAACTTGGGGAGTGTGCTTGCTGTTGGTTAAAATGAGAGTCGTGGAAAACGAAACCGTGTAATTGCCAAAGTTGTTGCTTAACGGGAAAATAGTAAAGGTGTATAATTAGCTTTAGTTTTTAGAGCTGTATTCCCGTTTGTGAAACAGGAGTTCCGTCGTAGTAAAGTTGCGAAGTTGCTGTAGTTGATACTTTGAGGGAAATTGTTGCAGAGATTCTTGTAACGGAGAAGGTGTCGTTGGGAATTATGTGTGAATTGCCAAGCGCATTTGCGATAGCTGGTTGTTTATCTGGTTGGTGTAGTCTTTACATTAGAGGAAATGCAGTTTATCTTTGAGTCTGTTCCTTGTTCGTTGTTGAGAGAAAAGTATAAACCTGTGGTTGTAGGGTATCTACGTTTCCGTAGCAGGAGCTGAAATGTACACGATGTGTAAAAAATTTAATCCGAATTTGACATGTTATTGCACATTAGATATTAAGATTATATGGAGTCTGATTTACTTTCTTCTAGCTTATAAATATCTGACTTTTTGCTGTTATGTGACACCTTCCCATTTTTGTGAATTTGAACAAATTTGAACAAATGCTGGTCGCCTATTTAGAAAACATTTTCCATGCAAATTTAAAATACATTAACCACCAAATTTCATTGTTGAACAGCGAATTGAAATTTAATAGGATTTGGTGATCAACCCACTCCTTAAGCCATCTTTGTTCGAATTTTTAAATTTGAATCTGAAATGAGAATAATTTTAATACTCATGACAATAGCTCTACGAATTCTAATTGGTCATTTTCAATCTCATTGGTACCAAAATTGTGTGATTTAAATTATCAACTCAAGGCCTGATTGAAAGTTTATTAAGTCTGTGAACGTAGTATCTAGCGCGCGATAACATGTCAACTTAGCCTTGGGTTTGTTGTTTAGAGTTGTGGCCCAAATTGCCATAGCTGTCGCTTCATGAGAACACTGTAGGAAAAATAGAGTTTAGCTTTGTTTAACTAATGTCGAAAGTTGATCAGGTGAGTTAAGAATATTTTTGTCTTTTAATTTTAAAACATTTAATTCAATGATTGTCTTAGTGAAGCTCTTTAATAGTCATTCATAAGAAGATGATGATTGTTTAGTCAACCTAAAGTTCTGCGCGATATCTGGCCTGTGGTAAGTATGCATTATTACCAACTATTCTGATATTAACATGGACTTCACTTATTGAGGCCATTAACATGGATTTCACTTATTCAGGCCATTGTTATCAACTATTCTGATATTAACATGGAATCCATGTATTATTGCCAATGATTTGACTACAACATGTTTCACCAATGAGTCAATAGGACATGCAGCCACTCATACATACATAGGTATGTATGAGTGGCTGCATGTCCTATTGACTCATTGGTGAAACATGTTGTAGAAACAACAGCTGACGATTGTTTCATTAAGTTCTTTTTCATGTTCACTAAAAACATTCAATTACATATGTTGGCATTACATATGTTACACATTCAAATATTATGCAGCCCTTTTAGCAAATACCCTGTTTTACTTTTTCCAGTCTGTAATCCCAGGTCCGTAACGGAAATCGAGCCCTCTGATTGGTTGACAAGAGGTACGTATCACACGATAAGGACGCCTCGCACACGTTACGGACCTTTCAAATTTCGCGCCAAAACAAACCGAAGAGTGAAGACAAAAGAGTGAACTCAAAAAACAATCCAAAAAGTTGAAAATCCCTCGCTATGGATACTAAAGTTAGGAAAATAAGCTGAACTGACTTCAATGGATTTAGTGTCAAGTCCGAAATGATTTTTTTTCGACATAAAGGCGAAAAAACAAGTATTTCATTAACGTATAAAGCTCAGCATTAAAGTACAAATACTGGAACCAAGGACTTATCCTCAAACATAAAAAAAATAAAAAATACCTTAAACGGCAGTTTAAGTTGATTTCTAGACTCATTTCAGTCAAATATTTTTTATAAATGCTACATGTCATTGTTGTCGTCAACTACAATTTGTTGCTGCGTGCCGAAAGAACATTTTTGAAGCATATTATCAGGCTAAAACTGTGTTTGAGGAAACATGTCTGGTATAATATTCTTGTGGTTTTGTTGAACTTTTCTTCAGACATACAAAGTAAAAACTTTTATTCGTAAATTAAAGTTTTAAAATCCCAAACGTTTTGCCGATCAAGGCTTCTTCAGTGGGAAAATGGTTAAAAGACTTCCCTTGTGTGTGGTTGTTTGAGCAGTCTGGCCCCATTACCCTCTGCGCATGTCTGGATGCGTCTATACCTTCGTGTTGTACCACATGCGTTTAGTGAGAGCACGCTCATGTGTATAAATACGGAGGTATCATGTATCTAGACGTGTACCAAGCTGCACTGACGAAGCGTTTGAAAACGCTTTATCTTGGCATTGGCATTTTGGTTTGGGCTTTTTAATTAATAAAATAACATTAAAGGAAAATGTACTCATAACTCTCATTTTTTCCAAAGTATAGATAATTTATTGTACAAGTTTGTTCAAACTTAAATTAAAAGATGAAAACAGGTTACATTTGAACGTGTAACTGAATAAATATGTTTATATGTGGGAGACAGAACAGTATTTAGTTCTGTATTTGTAAAACATAAAATTGAACTGTAACCAACATTATTATATAATCTGCAACGTGAATGAACATCGATGATGGCAAGAAGTGTGAAGCAAGCAATATGACAAAAACAGAACGTCTGTAAATACTTTCACCGAATCACTATCTGGAACACAATCCTGAAATAAAGACAGGATGCATTTGAACTTTTAATTATGAAAGCATATTTTTCTACCTTGTGATACTGTTTAGGATCTTGTCTTGTATTTGTGGAAAGTGACGTTGAAATTCAACCACCATTTTGCGACGTAGTGGAACACGGATGAGAGCAAACTTTATAAATACTAAGAATAAAATGCCAACCTTTTGCTCCTGCCTTAACCTGGACGACAGTGCAATACGCATTCTTCACTCGCATGTACCTGGGTGAACAAAGAAATGAGGAGAATGGATTAACACCTATATTTGTCTGATGCCATTCTCGTTCACTAAAGAACTGCCAAACCCTTAATTCCAATCATATTAAACAGACGTAGAGTATTCAAGTTAAAGAGACGAGTAATTTGATATTACATAAATCTGTACGCTCCAGTCGAGGATTAATCCAGGATTGAAAGACTAAATGTGAGTAACTGCTGCGTTCGTTTGAGAAATATAAAACATCTGCCACAAGGATCAAGTGTTGGTTGCTGATTTACACGTTTAAACAACCGAAAACAAATCTTTACTTTATCGAAAGAGTGAAAGGTTTGTAACGGTGTAACAGTTGTGATTGATGGCACTAACTAGATAATCTGTTCTGGTTTGAAATATTGAAGATGAAACTTTTGTTCCCGTAGTCTCAGACGTTACCATATCAGGAGCTGCGAAAGTTTGGAAAAAACATCCTAGTACAGTATCAAAACCGTCTATGAATCCGTAGTTGACTTTTTCTGTTTATGAGAGCTTTTAAAAATATACGGGATGATTGGCCGAGATGAAAACAATAATTCATGTGTATAATGAGTATGTGCACACATGTGTGGTTCAATTGTGGTGTTGTTTGTACACATGAAAAGTAGAAATTTGTCAACGGAAACCGGATATCAGACAAACTAAAATTAAGATTCTGCCAACAATTTACGAAAAGAATTGTTATAGTCCACCAGGTAGTTTAAGAACGTTGAACATTATGAACAGAAATTTGTTCTTCCTAGACATAGGCTTAAATGTTAGAAACATTTCCTAGTAATATATCGTTTAATACTCTAACATTCAATTGACTTCTTTCTTAAATAATGATATACAATAAAGTGTGAGAGATGTTAGAACTTCAATAGCTGAGCAACCTTTAGGATATCTTGCAAAACAAAATGTTGGTAGCATTTTTCTTAAATAATTGTTGCCATCTTCAAAGATGTGTCAACAACGTTCAACCAAAACTTTAGTGTTCCAGTAAAATCTTGTGTACGTTCGGCCACAGAGTAGAGACATACAGAGACGTAACTGACCGTTGTAAACACTGCGGAAGCTTACGTTTTCATGTACCCACTTTTTTTCAGGCGACCGGGCAAAAAATGATCAACTGCGCGTCCTCAACAATCAGATACATGTATCTAGTAACTTGCCGAGCATGCGCACAAAAAAGGTGGGTACACTAGTTACGTCTCTCTATGTCTCTACTCTGTTGTTCGGCCTTCATTCATGTTGCTCTGATACTTTTGAAATATCCCAAGAT